TCATGTCGATCACTAGTTATACCCTATAATAACATATACGAATTTTTGTACGTATATAATATGTATATGGAAGTATACTTGAAGATATAAATATTAATATATAAACTGCTTAAATATTTTTAAACGACTGAATTTTATTATTAACATTCAATGCTTTTATACTATTTTGCTAGATTACAAAATTCCTGAAACTTACAAACATACCGTGTAAACTGGTCAGACTTCGGCAAGTTTCTTGCAAAGATTCTCACTTTTCAACTGACATATACACATTTCAGTTCGCAACTTAGACGCCGAGCAAATGCATTTCTAAGAATTAGGGACAACAAATTTGACCTTCAGTTAGTGAACCCTATCATTATAGCAAGTGCTTTTAATATATAATACAAAAGATTATCTACCCTATATGCACATAATTAAAAAAGGTCATAGAACCGTAATTAAGGTTTGCACATATTGCAGATTAGTAATTTTATTGTCTTAATACAATAATCTAATATTATAAAGATTTATATTTGTTATAGATGTGTTATCTAGATTTTTAATAATTATCAAGCATAACATATAAATTTTCGTTAATGTGCGAAATGGTTTGTAAATTTCTAAACATACGTTTACACTTTCGCAATTAACTCAATAAATGTGATGCAATTAGTGACATATTCTAATTAAAATCTAAATAAAAATATATTAAAATGTTTTGATAAATGTTGTAGTATAGACAGGGTTGTAGTACAGACAGGAAGAAGAAGCTATGGATAATTTTTCTATACGTAAAATCAGTAACAATGAAAAAAAAAAATGTGGACAGGAATAAATTCCCCACACAAAAAAAGCTAAAAAACATAAAAAACTACTTCTCAAATGATCAAAAAAGTACAAATACAAATTAGTCAATGAGTAGTACCCCCAGCTATCAAAGAGTAAAAGTGTCCAGTTGCGCTGACTCGAAAAAAAGGGTCAACATACATACTGCTTACTGTAGACCTGCCTGATACACATACCTCAGAAAAGTAACTAAGACATCATCCTATGGAACCTCCTTTTATTATAAAATATAATCATGTTTCTACTCTTGGAGCGATAAATGCCGCTACCTCATTAGTGACGTATAGAAAGACTTGTTTAAGGAAGATCCATAAATGGGCCATAAATGCCGTGACATATAAAAAGACTTGTACTAGAAAGGTTTTTAAAATTAATTCAAAGTTCATGTGAACATATTCAAACCATTATAAAAAAACCATTATAATTATTATAAAACAGTTTGAAATACTTTAACAGGGTTTGAGTCTCAAAAGACACCCATCCTCTATGAAACACTGTGGTATCTCACGGCTAAAGCAATGAGCGTAAAAATAGTGTTTATGATAATATACACAAAGCGATTATGCTATGGTTTTTTTCATGCTTTTAAGTAATACAAGTAATACGTAATATATATTATATAAAATGATATATCACTTTTATTAAATCTCTTTTTTTAAAATAACCATAATCATATTCCTATAGTTACCAATTAAACTAAATGAACCTCTATTTCTGGGATTAGAAAGATGATCGAAAAAAAATTTGGATATACTATGCAAGTAGTACTAGTAATACTAGTATCTAAAAGGTGGAACACGGAATAGATAGAGATACTTCTATCTCTATGCTTTTTTATAGAGATGTTTTTTCTTTCACTACTATAATGATATTTTTCATAATTAATTAAAAATAAAGTCACTCTATAATTTAATTATTTTTAAACAATGTTTTCCTCTATTATTTTTCAGTGTAACCTCTCTCAATAACTTCTCCTTTGAAGTATCGAGAGAACTAACAAACAAGAAGTTACTAAAGCAACAGTACTTTGTTTTATTTTTAATCAATACTAACAAGTTTATTTTAAAACAAAACATTACCTTTTTATAAAAATGAATAATTTATATAGTAAATAATAGATTCTGAAAATAATGGGTGCCAAAGCAAAGAAGAAACGGAATAGTAAAGATTCTACAGCCAGCAATAATGAAGAAAGTACGGAAAAGAAAGAAGGCGGTAAGAAAAAAACTGGCGGTGGATCCAAATCTGTAGGTTGTGATATACTCAATGATGCAGCAATGGAAAATGCTTACTACGTTTGTCATAATGTGCAGGTTTGTGTTATATATCTTTTCTGCATTATAAGCTATTGTTTTATTAAATATTTATGGACTTCAGTGTTATAATTCAAGTAAGAAATCTAAAAGGTGTAAATGTATAGTTTTATTTTTTTTATTATCTCTAAGGATTGTGTTGCTAATAAAAGTCGTAAAGATAGTAGTTCACATGTAATTTAAATTATTTCAAATACTATATCACCATAGGTGTTATATTTTGTGTTAAACCCTTTGACTTTTAAAGAAATATAATTAAAAGTGGGGCAATAGAAAGATAGATGGTCCCAAAATCAGTTTCTGCCTTTTTTTGCAGTTGTAAATTAACTTACACTGATCATAACTTTAAAGGAGTATTTAATGATGTTTATAGAAAAATCTAATGAGTTTCAGAAACGATTTTTAATGTAATTTTTTATGTTACTTCATTTCAAATTGCTTACCAGAGGTACTTTACTAATCCAATTTACTAATATGACTGTTGCAGTATTATTACAATTAACATATTCTGATTATACTTAAGAATATGATTATAGGAATATATATTTGCCTTCAAATTGGTTCAGAACGCAACACGAAACGTAATCAAAATGTAATTCGAAACGTATTCAAAAAGAAATCGTTTTAAAAATCAGTTTTGGTCAGATGCTTTTCAGGGTTTCCTAAGTTAAGGTAATTACATATAGTCGACCGTGGCTTTAATATGGAAGTTCGGTTAGTATAATAGTAAGGATTGAAAGGGATACTATATTGGAAATACCCTAGCATCTCGTATCTTACGCATGTTATGTTAAATCTCCAGTTGGGTGCTTGTTTTTATAAATATAATTTTTGGTACTCAAATTTGTTTTTAATATTTAATATATTTTATTTTAAAATATATCATAAGATATATCTGTATATGTTTTTTAAAATCTACATATAAGTAGGTTAAAACTATATTATTTTAATATATGTATTTTATGCTTTTTTTTCACATTGCAAAAGTATATTTAGAAATTTTCTATAAAATTGTTTTATAATTTTTTGTTTTTTATTTTATCACTGTTTTCGGTAATATTATATAGCTCTTTTTTAATTTTTTACTCTTTTGTAACAATTGTTTTGTGTAGGTATTCCCTACCTAAGTTGAGAACTAACTGCTTGAGTGAGCGAAGTGATTTTTAGTAGACTAATTCTCTTGCATTGTGATATTTTCGATCTATGTATAATTTAACGACTTCAGATAATGATATTAAGCATTTCTTTGTAAATATTTTCATAATCTTAAATACTTTATAGTAAATATTATTAATTTTTCTTCTAGGATGTTTTGAAAGCGCGAGGTTTTGCTTGGCCCGATGGACAAAAGAAAAAGAAAAAAGGAAAACGTTGAATCATATATAGTATATAACTCTAACTATATATTAAACTATATATTCATCTTTTTAGTATAAACATATATGTATAAAAATTACTTATTATTATTTACTAATAATATCAATATTGTTACAAATATTAATCAATATTATTATAAGCCAATATTTCAAATAATCTTACGTACATATGGAATAAAATGTCATTGTTAATACAAATAAATAAAAACATATTTGTCTATTTTTCGTCTTTATATCTGCAGCTACTGCAACATACGTTACAAGTGATGCCCAAGATTTCAGTACGTCTCGGTGAGACAAATCAAATTCACCACGATTTTTGATATTTCTATTTCAGTGCTACATAGGCGGAATCTTGATTTTTAATAGATTGTTGTATGGTCTTGTTAATTTGGAATTTTCGCACAAATATATATTTTGCTAATCTTTTTATCAGAGATCAGCATTCAATCCTCATAAGAGTACTTTTGATGGCCCCCCGTTTTTACAAAATTCACAAAATCCACTTCGAGTCATGTTACTTTTATTCTAACCCTATCCTTGAGGATCTCTGGTAATAATTAAGTAAGAATTAAGACTTATTACACTAAAATATTTTCGGATAATCTCAAAAAAAAGTGCTTTTGATATCTCCTCTATATTCCGAAACAGGTGAAAGTCTCCAAGAGTTTTAATACTTCAATTCTAGCTTTATCTTTAAGAATATCTGATTTTTGAACAATTGTTTTATGGTTATGTTTACTTGGAGATTTCGCACAATTATACATTCGGTTAGTCTTAGAAAAATGCTGTTAATATATTTCTAAGAACTTTATATTCGAGATCAGTATTGGTGTTCCTCAACTTAGACACCAATATTTTAATTGTTTATTGCAGAGTTATTTAGGAATTTAATATCATTCTTTTCCTCCGGATATTAGAGAATCCATAAGATCTATCAAATATTATGATAAATTTAGCTCTATCTTGGACGATCTTTGACTTTTATAGATTGTTGTATGGTCACATGGATTTTTTGCACACATACATGTGCGGCTAATCTTCGAAAAATGTTTTGAATACATATCGAAACCCTTTTCAAAATGAATAGCCGTGGTACTTAATGTACTCTCAGTAGGGGAACCAACAAAATTTTATTTCTTTGTTTTTCCATATTTTATTTTGAAACCGATACTAGTGAAATCAGCCCAGTTTACTCTTTGATTTCAATTGTCTTTAACTGCTTGTTGGGTAGTTAAGCTGGTGCAGAGTAGTGGAGGTACTGCAAATCTAACTTCTTAGGAGACCACAGCATATTCCTTTGTAGATTCTATTATGAAATCAGTCAGCCAGCTTTTTTAATTACAAAGACTTCGGCTTGGAAACTGTTATAAATTATGTTATTAATTAACTGTTATCGGAGTTAATACAGGAATCATATTCCATCTCATATGACATCAAAATTACTCTCTTTACTATGAGTAGAGTTTATTGATAAATCAAATTATTTGGATCAAATTATTAATGTGTTTTAATTTTAGATATTTAAATTCGAATCAAATTGTCATAAATGTAAAGAGCCCTATTAAAACACCCACTTAACTTGGTCAAACACATCACAAGATCTAAAATTAAACATAATAAGTCACAAATAGAATATAAGAAATGTGAAAATAGAAGACAAACGAAAACACTTAAAACAAATAAATTTATTTACGAAAAAAAGATATGTTCTAGAAACTTTTTGTTTATTTAAAAACAACAAATTTTGCAGCTTTTTGGAAAAACATTTT